GCAGTAAAGTACCCAGTGCTTGAAGTGGAAAAAAAGTAGTGCCAGTACTAATGCATTACTAATGTATTCCCTTACTGGATCCTTGAACTTTCCAGAAGTTTACCAGTTTCAAATGACCTTCTGGGTAGTGTGCTTGTCATTTCTAATCACCCAGACACTGAAGCATTTGCTCAGTATGTCAGAAGTGCCGATATGCACGAAAAAGTGCCAGTACGCTAAAGACTAAAATATTGAAGTGCCGGTACTGCGTACCGGTGCGTACCGGCCCACATCAAGCACTGAAAGTACTGCAAACGCGATTCGAAAGCATAAGGAGCGTCTGCTCTTTATAGTTCTGTTCGTTGATGTCACACACAGATCGGTCTGTGTGCACTGCTTCAAGTCGAACACACCTATTGTTTTAACTTGCTAGCTAATGTAATTTATTTGTTATTTATTTTGCTTGTTATCAGAAATAATCTACTCTAGAGGGACTCTGTTGTTATTGATTTTTTGCGGAACTCTAACGGAAGTTAAGTGTGGGCCACAAAAGCACGCATGCACAGTAACGTTTGTTTATGTTGTTGGCGGTGAAACCGTCAATATATCTGCTGTTCCATAAGCACCACCTGCTGTAAATTAATAAATGAGATTTTAGAGAAATTTGAGAATAAATTAGCATTTTAATTTAGTCTGTCTGCTGTTTTTGTTATGTGCAGGTTTCTTAGGACCCGAACAGACCGAACGCGTTTTTCAGGTTTAAAAACACAAGGCACACTGCACTGACTTTTTTGGGTTTACTTTTTTTGTTATTTAGAAAAGAGCAGTGCGCAACATTTGTTTATGTTGCTAGGCAACCAACGAATCAGCTGTCCTGTCAGTCTAATCGAGGATTATAGTGCGAGCGCTATAAAATCTTTGGTTTGCTGTTAGGTAAACTGTCATATTAGCAGAAACTAAAAAAATACATCTCCGGGTAACCCGCGACAGCCACCACAAGTTTCTCCTCCATCATTGCAGCCTCCAGACGTTTCCAGCAACTGTAAACTTCCGTCACCACAACAGAAGGCCTGCCTCTCCATTCATTCGATTGAAAAATGGAGAGAAAAAAAACGTGAATGATGTCGGTGTCACAGCGGTTGAGCAGGTGAAGGAGGAGCCTGAGGTGGAGAGCCGATGAGCCAGGGCGACGGGGAGGATCCGAAGGGCCAAGGCGGAGCAGATGGCTCAGGCGACTGAGGCGGGGATCCGGAAGGCCATGGTGGAGCCAGAGTGACAGAGGACCGAGGAGGAGCCAAAGGGAAGGAGGAGCCTGACAGAGCCAGAGGGACAAGGGAGCCCGGCGGAGCCAGTGGAGGGGCTGCCAGACGACAGTGGTGGAGGTGGCAGGAGCGGGAGGGTGGGTGGGCATTTGTGAGGCTCCGGGCTCTCTGGGCTGGTGTGCGCTGCCTACACACACCAAATCGCGACTCCCAGCACTGGGAGCGCATCAGACAGGAGAATGACAGGGCTGGCAGACAGTTCAGTGCAGACAGAACGTTCACAAATGGCACTACATGGCTGAAACAGGACTGACAGGGAGTTCAGACGAAGGCAGGAGGAGAGCAGGGAAGGTCGGCTTATAAATCAATTAAATCCCCTTCCAAATCAAGCAGTCCCAGTTCCCTTGTAAGCTCACCCTCAGCCATGGTGCAGTGGGCAGAGCTTCTCTCCACGCTCTCGCTGTCCACGACCTTCTCACTCATGGTGAGCACTGTAGAAAACAAAAACGCGAGGTGCCTGGGGTGCATAAACAGCGTGCAAAATGCCCACTCCCAATAGAAAACAAAGCCACCTCTCACTACAAAAAAAATGCATTCTGTCTGATCGGGGCCTTATGTAGCATGATTTCACAAATATAAAGTCAGACCATTCTGTTTTTGCTTTAAATCTTGAAACTGTACAATCTAATTCAAATCAAAAACAACTGCTCATGCTACATGTATGTAGCACAACTGTCTGTTCAAAATAAATGAATGAATAGATTTCCTGTAGTACCAAACTTGTATCGAACCGTGATCCCAAAACCGAGTTGACTACCGAATAGGGCTGAATGATTTTGGAAAATAATCTAATTGCAATTTTTTTTACCAATATTGCGATTGCAATTTAATATGCAATTTTTTTTTTAAAGCTCTTTATGTTCTGTATTATTCAACAAAGACAAGCTATAAATCATTGTATAGTATGACCAACACAATATTAGATAGATTAAACATAAATGTTCTTTTCTGTAGGCCATGCCATATGTTGCGATGAAATTAGGTGATGCATGAATTGATATGAATTACATTTTTATTTAATCACTACAATCACAGTATATTGACTGATTAAAGCACTGACAAATAAGCCTGGTGTAAACATTAATATGAAAGTCAGTAACAAATCACACAAACTAAAGTAGATTGCAGAAATATAAAAACAGATCTGTTGCTTTACCACACTACTTTAGGTAATTAACAGTCACTGTAATAAACATATGTAAACATGTGGACTGCACTAAACACTGTCTGTTAACTTTTTAGACCAGTGGTTCTCAAACTTTTTTGGTCGCGCCCCCCTTTAAACCCCCCCCCTCAGACTACCAAAAAATTTCACTAAACATTATGAAAAATTAATGTTTTTTAATTAAAAAAACCTACAGGGAAAAAAACACCTGCATCACTTGAAACATTGAAAAATAGCACAGAGAGAATAACTTATTATTATTCTCTCTCTGTTATTTATTTATTTTTTGTGGCTTTCTTGCTGTCCGCTAAGGCATAGGACACACACAGGCTTTCCTCCTCACCAACGACATTAAACACCGTGTCTACGGCTAAATACAGTAGAACCCATTATAATCAGTGATGCTGTCTACAGTGGATGCGGCGCGATGCCTTGTTCTATTTATGTTCTATTTATGGTGTACCGACACAAAGTTAAAATGATTTGCAACGGTCGCTTTGTCACGTCCAGTGTAGAGCTGTTGCGGTGCGGCGTCCGGTATAGACACGGTGAGTGAAGCCGAGAGCAAGATATGCCTTGTCATATTTTCAGCATTTAGCTTTTAAATGACCAGCACCTGCCTGGGTCTCAGGGCTCTACACTTACTTTTCTTTTTAGGAGCACTTGTGCCAAAACTTTAGGAGCACCTTCTAATCAGTAATCAAAAATTCTGATAAAAAAATTTACCTTCCCATTACGAGGTGATATTTGACTCAAAGTGATTTACAGGGAATTTGGTTTTTACCTTTGTAATGGCAGTTTTCTAACTTTATTAAAAGTATGTCATCTTTTATGTCAAATTAAAAATATATATATTTAAAAGCTTTTTAACATTTCTAATTAAAACAACAGAATAAAAACAAGTAGAATAAGAATAAGTTACCAATAAAATTAAATCAGTATTTAAGAAACAAATTTGTGCTACAGAGTTGACACAGAAGAACACAAAAGTGTATTTTCAGACGTTTAATGAGACTCAGAGGTTGCATGAGTGCAATTACGTTCATAAATTCATGTTGAGGTTAATGTTTTAAATATACAATTTTGAATATATAAGTATTAAATGATTTAAATAACAGAAAATATATTTTAAAAATTAAACTAAAACTGCCAACAGGTAAATCACTGATTTTATCACTGAATCATTCATTTAATTGATTCGTTCGAATGGCTGAATCATTCAGGAACGAAGTACGTGACTGTCTTTATGAATAGGTAATTGAATCATTGACTCACAGTTCATTCATAAACGAATCACCGCCGTGTTTGAATGGAGATGTGCAGCAGTTCAGCTGTTACTTAGTTTGAAACGATTTTCGTTGATGAAATAGAGCAAAATAAGGCAATTGTGTTGTTGTCAGACAATATAAGTTACTTAATATTAACTTCTTGTTTAATGAACTGTTGTATTAAATCAATATCACATTTGCAAACTCCCTTAATAATCATTAAAAGCTGTCACTCATCTTAGTTTATCCCGATCTCACAAAACTCCATTATAATCGATGAAGCTCCTTACACTGCACAATGAATCTCTTATTTACACCCCATCAACACTTTGTTTGTTATAATGAGAGGATACGTCTGTGATACATTACTCAACACTGCAGAAATACGTAAGTACGTTAGAACCTTTGAAACTCCCTCAGCGCAAACACAAATATGCTGATCGGGTCAGTCGCACAGGTGCTCCTAAATATTATTTCATAGTCCCACGCAGTAGTTTTCAGTCGCAAATGCAACTGAAACGGTCACACTGTAGAGCCCTGGGTCTGTGCGACTTCATCTATGGCTTTTCTCTTCGCTTTCACAAACCGATCCATCTCCCATTCTAAGTTACGTCCTTTGGCTGTTTACTGTTTTATTTCTTTTTCTGCTGATGGCCCGCACTCGACTTGAAGCAGCTCTGCTTAGACCGATGGGTGTGTGTCATCAAAGTACTGCGAGAGCTATAAGAGAGCGCGGACGTCTCCTTATGCTTTCTCTCGCTCGCCGTACTTTGATGTCATACACCGATCTGATCTTCAAGTCGAACACACATCTTTACTCTCGTGTGTCACGTGACCGAGTGTAATCACAGCCTCTGCGATTGAAAAATCTACATTTTTCATATCGCGATATTATCGCAAATGCAATTAATTGTAACGAATCAGCTCATGAGGAAATATGAATAATTAACCATAACTAGTTATAATTAATTATGAATAATCGTTCAGCCCTACTACCGAACCGTAACTTCTGTGTACCATTACACCCTTAATAGGCATCTGCTGTTTCAGTAGTACTTCAGTAGTACATGGTGTTCTGAAGGGGTTGACACATTTTGAATTATCTATTAATTGTTTATAACATTATAAATCACACATACAAAAACAAAAATTTATTTCAATGCGAACCAGGTTTATTCAAGTTATTTCATGAAAACTAACAAAACAGAAAAACAAATTCTTTTATAATACAATTTCTAGTCCAGTTTACAGTCATAAAAGCCCCTCCCCAAAAAAATGTTTACTATAATAACGTTACTATAATGTATTACTATAATAATGACAAAATTATCTTTCTGATATCATTCATCTTTCATCCAGCAGTTGTTAAAAAACCCATGCTGATGGCTGCAGAGTGATAGAAGTCCAAAGATCTGCGCCTTCTGCGTCTACGTCCAGGGTTGCATGACTGTAGATGACAGATTTTTAACATTACTTACAAAATTTATACAGTGCAATTTTTCTTTGTGTTGTCTTTCACATTATAATATTTATACTGTAATTTATTTGAAGGTTACTGTTAAAGCAATGCAATAAGGGAATATCATAAAAAAATGCTATGGTTATTGAATATGTTACCTGTGCACATGTGCCATTCTGCACTAGGCAGAGGTGAACTTGACAGTGCAGAAAGATTTGATCAGAACCTCTTGTGAATGTAAACATCCTGAAGGAGAAATGGCTTGTTGTGTTAATTCCATTCTGTAGAACCTCCACTGTACCATCCTCAGGGTTGGGACATCTAGAAGGCAGAAAGGAGGTGAATAAAGACTTCTATAAATTGCAATGTTTCCAGTGCTCCTGCTCACAATTAATCCAAAATAGAAAGACAAATTGTATATGTTTTGCTTATTTTTCCAACATCTGTGCATGACAATCAACTTTAGAGCATGAAGTGATGCATTGTTTACTGCAATTGAGTCCTGTGTAAATTTATCCATTACCTATGTACCAAAAAAGTGTTGCCTTTGCAGTTTAAGATACCATAACAACACATGCAATGATCTACTCACCAGATGTATTCTCATTACACAATATTCTATTCTAATATTCCCAATATCCCCCTTGTAAGATGACCAAAAAAGTAGTAGTCAGTTAAATATAGAAAAATCAATTAAGTTACTCACTCTCTAATAATCAGATTCCAGCGGATTTCATAGTCAATGTAATTAACTGGTGTGGCCCAGCAGTTGTCCAGAACTGTTGCAATCTGACTTCTATCCACTCCTTCCACCTCAACCGCCACATACATCTGTTGATTCACCTGCACTTCCACATCCCCCTCGTATGGGCTGGTAAACTGAGCATCATGGTTAAGAATCATCCGGATCTGGTATGTGCCCTGGCCAGGTAGGTCTATGCTTACAATACTGTGGGGCAAAATGTAAAAGTTAAATAATCCCTTTCTTTAGTACATATACAATGGGGGGAAAAGTAATAATAAATAAATGAAATAAAAAAGAAGAACAACAATGGTCATGACCAAGACAGAGAAAATTAGCACCAAACACTTTGTACTGTGTTCACAGTATATGTGTAGCTGTTACCTCACTGGGCACAGCCATAGGGTACTACAATCTTTGTTTAACTCTTTCCCCACCTGTTTTTTTTTTTTTTATAAAAAAATTGCCTGCCACCGCCAGCAATTTTGATAATTTTAACAAAAATTTCATGGCCCCCAGGATATTTCACTGTATGAATATCTGAACATGCAATATGTGAGAAGAAAGAACAAAGCCTCTGCTTTTAAACAAAATAAACTGTTTTATTCCTAGCTTCATGCATTTTTTCTTTTAATCAACACTAGAATGTCATAAAAAAAGCAATATTTTGGAAAAAGCTGAGAAAATCAATTTTTTGACTACGTCCAGGTTGGATTCAGAATGTTGATCAAAATATAGATGGAGTAGATCGAGTCAACACCCCCAATGCTTGCACGGTGCTATACCACTTCTTGGGTCATCATTTCATTCAGTAACATTAGGCAGTTTTGATCTATATGCTGTTTGATGATCGCGCTATTATATGCTTCTGTTTACATACAAGGTTGCTTATTTCTGCTTTTTTGGATGTTCTTAATGCAGACATTCACTACTCTTTCAGAAAATGTGTAATAGCGCCTCCTACTGTATTAACTGAAAACACGGAGAGACAGACATTTATTTCAATGGCAGGAAAAGAGTTAAAGAACTAGATTTCAGAACACAAAATTTGCTTCAGGAGCCAGGAACAGGCAACATATAGGGGGAAAAAGGGTAAGAATGTGTGTGTGTGTGTGTTTTTTTTTTTTTTGGTATTTTGTAGTCAATCATTTCAATACATTTACATGATTTAAAGGTTCAAAAATATATAATTTTCTCATACTGTACATGCTGCAGCACTTATTTTTAAATGCCAATGCTCTTATTGGTCAGCTGGCACAGCCTGTTATGATTGGTTAACTGCTTAGACCGTGTGTTGGAAATGTAATGCCCCTGAGCTACCAGGGCTTCATGAGTAGGTGCCAGTATTGAAAGTCCATACAATGATTGATTGATTTTTAATTTTTTTTTGCCCACGCATCAATCAATCAATCAATCTTGCCTCAACAATGCAATATCAACCTAACTGTTCCATGAGGGCCTAAGTTCCACCTTCCAAGTCGGGGTTGTTGCAGTTTTTCACAGTTTCTGAGTCAGAAACACGGGGGTGCTCCAGTAATAAGTTTGCCGGGGAAATAACGGCAAGACTACAAACGGGGTGTTTCAGGCAGGTCTATTCTGTTGGAGAGTAGCAGCCTTTCTGTTAAAGCATGGAGTTTAAAAGACATTTTTTTAAGTCTGTCAAGTGATTAACATTTTTAATCTAACAAATTACTTGATGTGCAGATATAATAGCCAAAACCAAAATTGTGTGATTAATTTGCAAGTAATTTGATTAAGAAATTTCCCCTCGAGATAATTTTAAGTCATTGTTGTAATGCCAAGTGCTCTCATAAATGAGTGAAGGCATGATTCATGTGCAGGTAAACTTTATTTTAAAAATAACAGTAACAACCCAAATAAGAAAACTGGGGAGCAGAACTGAGAAGATCAAAGAAACATCCAACAAAGGACAATACCAGACAGTGAACCCAAAAAATACAAGGGCTTATAAACACAGAGGATAAATAACAAGACACAGATGGGAACAAACAGACCAATTACAAGAGGAAACAGGAACAGTAACCAAGCAAAACTACAAACTAAAAGTCCACATACAAAACCAGGCCACAAGGACAGGAAGAGCATGACATAACCCCCCACTTATAGAGCAGCTTCCAGATGTTCCACAAAACAAAAAAATCCACAAGGGTGGTGGAGCAGAGGTGGCAGAACTGGAGATCAGGAAAGAGCCAGCAGGGCTGGCGCCCAGGGTGGAGCCAGAGACCACTGCAGAGCTGGAGACCATGGTAGAACTGGAGTCCACGGCAGAGCTAGAGACCATGGTGGAGCTGGAGACCACGGCAGAGCTGGAGACCATGGTGGAATTGGAGTCCACGGCAGAGCTAGAGACCATGGTGGAACTGGAGACTACGGCAGAGCTGGAGACCATGGTGGAATTGGAGTCCACAGCAGAGCTAGAGACCATGGTGGAGCTGGAGACCACGGCAGAACTGGAGACCATGGTGGAACTGGAGTCCACAGCAGAGCTAGAGACCATGGTGGAGCTGGAGACCCCGGCAGAGCTGGAGACCATAGTGGAACTGGAGACCACTGCATAGTTGGAGACCATGGTGGAGCTGGAGACCACGGCAGAGCTGGAGACCATGGTGGAGCTGGAGACCCCGGCAGAGCTGGAGACCATGGTGGAGCTGGAGACCCCGGCAGAGCTGGAGACCATGGTGGAGCTGGAACAGAGAGCACAAAGAGTTTACTGACGGCCTCAATGGCCGTGGCAGGGAGCTAAGAGTGTTCAGAGTTGGCCTCCGTGGCCATTAAAAGAGCAGACGAGGAGCAAAGAGAGTTGAGAAACAGCCTCTGTGGCTGTGACAGGAAATACAGAGAGTTCAAACGCAACCTCCTTGGCTATGGCAGGACAGGCAGAAGATTCAGAGACTCCTCGCGACCGGACAGACAAAGGGATCAGGAGTGGATGCAGCCATCACAGGAGGAGTAGTAGCAGATGCCTTTACCTCGAGAGGAACTGTGAATGTGTGTGAGGCCCAAACACATTAGATTTTGGTAGTGATCACTGATGATAGGGAATTGACTTCCGGGACCAGCGCATTTGAGATTACCAGGACCACCAGACTTGGGACCAAAGAGCGTGGGTCCACCACATTTGGGACCACTGGACTTGGGAATGTTGGAGATGTCTGCAAGATTTGATGAATGAAATCCAGTAAATCAAGCTCACATTCCAGTGGGACAACCTTCCTCACAGAATCATTAAGTTACATCCAAAAAATTGTTTGAATGGCACGCTCTTCCCAGTGAGTTATTGAAGCAGCCTCCCAAAACTCTAGACAGCCTAGCAGGGGTATTTGCTCCTGCTGACGAAGCAAACATTCTCCTGCTAGATCTATTGCTTGTGGTCTGGTATGCCGAGTGCTCTCAGAAGAAGTGAAGTAAGGATCCATGTGCAGGTGAACTTTATTTTGGTTATTATTCTTATAATTTCAATAAACTTAACATGGGAAAACCAGGAAGAAGAACTAGGAACATCTCAGAGCACATCGACAAAACATCTAACAAAGGACAATACCAGACAATGAGTACAGGAAACACAAGTGCTTACGGTGCATTCATGTCATGTTGAAAATTACTGCAATTTCGAGGTTTCAACATTTAAAAAGCTTTCATGTCCTTGTAGATCTCGTAATTACAGCTTGTAAGTACAGATGACCGCTGTACCACCTGACTGCTGCAGATTCATTTAGGCATTAATAGCGGTGCTATAGAAATGCACAATCCCCAGTCCGAGGACCTGAACAGCTCCAAATAGAAAGTCACATGTTGTCATCTCGAGCCTACAGTAATTATGACATGGCGTGAATGCAGTATTATATAGTCGGGATAATTAACAAACAAGACACAGCTGGGAACAATCAGACCAATGATAAGGCAAAACAGGAACAGAAACAAAGCAAAACTACAAACTAAAAGTCCACATACAAAATCAGGCCACAAGGTGGGGCCGGCTCCAGGCTTGGGCTGAGCCCACCCAAATGTCTGTCTTGGCCACCCAATAAGAACTAGGTGAAGATTGCATTAATCTTTTTTGTGCAGTGATTAAAAGCAATCTGAAGCGTACTGCATTTCGAGAAGTTTAATAAGAGCTGAAGACTGCTGAATCTTAAAGGGGTCATATGATGTTGCTAAAAAGAACATTATTTTGTGTATTTGGTGTAATGCAATGTGTTAACGCGGTTTAAGGTTAAAAAAACACATTATTTTCCACATAATGTACATTATTGTTTCTCCTCTATGCCCCGCCTTTCTGAAACATGTCGATTTTTACAAAGCTCATCGGTCTGAAAAGCGAGGTGTGCTGTGATTGGCCAGCTATCCAGTGCATTGTGATTGGCCGAATACCTCAAGCGTGTGACAGAAATGTTACGCCCCTTACCATACTGTGTTTCCATCATAGAGTCTATGGTTTCCATGTGTCCTGCACGACGAGACAAAACCAATAAAACCCATTACAAACGAGGCATTTGTTGCATCCAGTGGGGACATAATTACTGATTATAATGACTTTTAATGTGCTTTTACGCTTTGCATTGTGTATTGCGCTGCGTAAACATAAAACCATGTCTGCATTTGTGATCGGAGAAATGACAAACAATAAGCGCTACTCTACACAGTTCAAACTCGTGTTTGAATCATCAGTGGCAAATTCTTTAAATATAAAAAACGTACTTACAG